CCATCAATACCTTGTGATTCACATTTTTTTTATGTAGTCATATTAAGTATGACACCTCGTAATCCTTGTTTCGGATTTACGCCAAGATTTGCAAGAGAGAGAAACAAATTCAATTGCAAAACATAATTGTTTCACTAAAATAAACATGTTATATGGATTGCTTGAAAAACAAACAGATTTAACATGTAACAGATTCTAGAAAATTTGTCTAGAATAATCATTTACATATAGTAAATACGATACATAGATTGAACTCCATAATAATTAGATCTGAGGATCCAAGAAGAAAGTCTGTTGGGTAATCTGTAGTTGTTACGGCCTGAAAAATTATTTCAGAAATCCCAGTTGCACAGACGTAAAGTACAGTATAGTCTGTGGCCTGAAGATGTACTATAGATACTAATATGTGAATACTAGGAAGCTGGAGAACCAAACCGAAAATCGCCAGAATGGATAAGGTTGCCCCAATCTTCTTCTCGTGCGGTTCCTGAGGGGAAAATTACCGCCGTCGGCGGCGGACACGAGGGCTCGCCGGGCCAGGGAGAGGATCCAGGCGCCACCAAACCTCGTACGCGAGGACGCCGCCGTTGCTCGGACTTGAGCGCGGGCCACCTCCACCGCGTGATGCGGCTGCTCTGTGGAGAGCCGGGCCGAGGCCCGCTCGGAGGAGCGGCGTGTCGTGGCTGTGGTGTCCGCCGCGCCCGGAGGACTGATGCTTCTGCGACCGTCCTCGACGAGGTTGTTGCCGCTACAGTGATGGCGAGACGGCGAGACGGCGAGCAGCAGTGGCCGCTAGTTCCAGTTCAAGAAATTAGAAAAAGACATGGTACCTTCTTCTTCCCTTTGCATGACTGGATGATACGTTCTTGATTGAAGCTTTCTCTTCCTGATCAACGATTTCTTCCGGTTGATGCTTCAGCCACCTATTCATCTCGCCATGCTCACATGCTCGGATGAAGCGATGCACTATGTGGTGCAGAAAATGCAGTTAATTTCGAGATCACTGGAAGAAAACAAATACTTAATTACTAAATGGAATTAGTGTTTCCTGATCGATTTCTCTTATGGCTGTTTTAGGCGTTCGTGCCGAGAGGAGCCAGGCCGAGGGGAGCGTTGTTGCGCCGATGCGCGCCACTGCCTCCTGTCCCGCAGCGGGCTGCAACGATGAGACTCTGTGCGCGTGCCGGCCGGAGGGTGTCGCTGCAGAGGGTGGTCGGCGCCGTCGATCTGCGCGGATGTGAGCCTTTTCTTGTTCTGCTCTTTTTGTTTGTAGTTCAAGAATGATCAATTCTTCGTGAGATTCGTGTGAGCGCATATATACTATTAGTTTTCCTGATCAAGGCCTTTAATCCTTGGATCGTTGGGGATCAACAAGATCTGTTCTTCATCCTCTGCAATGATGTTCTGCTCTTCTCTTGTCCGGCCAAATCGCTCGATAGGAGAGCAAAGTGCATGATAACGTGTTTTGAGTGAAAAGTAAAGAACGAGAGAGTTTAATGAAAGATGATCCATCAGTCTTTATTGATGATAGAAGTGGGGTATTTATACCCAGGCGGAAGTACACATGGTGCTTGGCGGTCAAGTAAAAACATAGTTACTTGAGAGCCAAGGAATTACATAGTTGTCTTGAGAACCAAGGAAGTACATGGTTGCTTGAGAACCAAGCAACCTATCTAACAATTAACTTAATCCTAATTAGCTTAATTAATAAGCAACTATTCTATTCTTAACAGTGGCCACTGCAAGCTAGCAGCTCAAGCATCACCACGTGGAGGCATGGTGCATGGGCCAGAACGTGGGCAACATCCAGAGGAAGGAAAAGACCCACTTAAGGAAGTGTCTCATGGTTCATACGTGGTGGCACCTGGAACATTACTACGTGTAAATGATGCAGCACCAATCTCATGCGCAGGGGGTGCAGTAGCATCACTTGGTGGTGGCCAGTCAGCAAGTATGTCTAGTACTCTATTTGTCAGCCTAGAAGCGAGCATCAGTGGTGGCTCGCAGTTGCTAGCAGAATTGTACGCACAAGATGATGTCACTTCGGCACCTATGTCGCCTCCGAAAGTACCGGAGAAAACGACACGTCCATCTACATCCGGAGTTACACCCATATTCGGAGAAATTTCTTCAGACGATTAACCCGGTAATGGTGAACGAGAGTGGGCGACGGTGTCTAGCAAGCGCCGAGGAACCGGCGAAATTTGTGGACGCAAATACGAAGGAGTGTTGGCGTCATGCTATGAAAAAAGAGTTGTGGTCGATCCATGACAATAATACATGGGAGCTTGTGGATCTTTCCAATAATGAAAAGGCGATAGAGCTCAAGTGGCAATTTAAGGTCAGGAAAGATGTTGAAGGGTGCATGAAGCACAAAGTGAGATTTGTGGCCAAAGAGAAAGTATGAACTTCGAAGAAGTGTTCGTTCTCATTGCAAAGATGGAGTCGGTGAGATTACTCATCGCTCTCGCGACTCAGAAATCATGGAAAGTACATCACATGGATGTAAAATCCGTGTTTTTGAACAGTCAGATAGAAGGAGATGTGTATGTGAATCAACCACCGAGTTTCATCAAAGAAGGAGAAAAGCACAAGGTACTGAAGTTACACAAAATCTTGTATGGGCTATGGCAAGGACCTCGGGAGTGGAACATCAAACTTGATCGGACATTGATTTCTCTTGGATTTGAGAAAGCCCCACTAGAGCATGCAATGTACAAGAGAGGTGAAGGAAATGATCGTCTATTGGTTGGCATCTACATCGACGACCTATTGATTACTGGAGCAGATGAAGAGGTGATTGCAAAGTTCAAGCTACAGATGAAAGAGTTTTTCAAGATGGATGATCTAGGTCTTTTGAGCTACTACCTCGCGATAGAGATACATCAAAAAACGAAAGGGATCACACTATGTCAGGAGGCATACACAAGGAAGGTACTTGAAAGCCGTGGCATGAAATATTGCAATCCAATTGACGCTCCAACGAAACCTTGTCTTGAGCTGAACAAGAAGAGTAAAGCACCCGCAGTTAATGCAATAGAGTATATTGCAGCTGCCACTGCGGCGTGGGAAGATGTGTGAAGGTGTGTGGCTAGGGTGGCTACACGGTGATCTCATGGATCGAGATCCGGAACAAGTGGTGCTTAATGTTGATAGCAAGTCTGAAAGTTTTCTATGCGAAGATCCACTGCAGCATGATACAAGTAAGCACATTGATACAGTGTGAAAGTTTGCCGCGCGTGAGTACTGCTAGTACTGGATCGATCCGTTAATCGATTAGCTAGCTACTAGTTGTTCTGCCTGTACGTGGTTCCGTCTCAGACGTGTTTCGCTTCGAGCAAGTGCACCGGTCAACAGCAAATTGTTCAAGAGTCAGTTAGCTTTGCTTTGTCGTCGTTCTTCGTCGGTCATATCATCATCATCGGAAAGTACTCGACGTCGGGTCTGGGCCAACAACCTCGGAGCCTGCAGCCGTTGACGACACATGCGTTCCGTGCCCATCGATGTCCCTCGGACTCGAATCGGCGAGGCCACCGGCATCTAGCTCGTCGACTGTGATGAAGGACTTGGCGCCGACGAGCTTGTTGCTGCACAGGCTGGCGTTGAATCCTGGGGCGTCCACGCACTGGCCCCTCCAGGTGGACCTGACGGGGCTGACCCCGGCGTCGCTGAAGCTGGCGCGCTCCGGCCAGATGCCGCTGTCGACGAAGCCGATGATGACGCCGTCGCCGAAGTCGGCGTCCGGCCACGCGCCGAAGTCGTCGTGGAGGCCCATGAACCACGGCGACCTCGTGGTCTGGGTATGGTACAGCCTGTCCTTGTACACGCGGGACACGCCTGGGACGGTCGCCATGCGCTGGGCCTCGCCGTCCGTGAGACGAGCCGCAAAACCGTGCATGACGGTGCCGTAGGTGTAGCGGATGCGGTTGGAGTTCTTGCCCAGAATGGACGCGTACCAGCGCTCGAGGGTGTCGAACTTGGACGGCTTGGCGAGGTGGTTGGTGAGGACGATGTAGGTGCTCGAGCTGGAAGGATGAGGCTGCTTGTGCCCCTCGGCAATGGCGTTCTTGGCCTTCGAGGTGACGGAGGAGTGTGTAGACTGGACAAGGAGGAGAACTAGGAGTGAGCAGCGCAAGAGGATGGAGACCATGGAAGCCATTGTTGGATTGTGTGTGGAGTGAGCAGCGCAAGAGGATGGGGACCATGGAAGCCATTGTTGGGTTTTATAGAGCTTAAGCAGCCCAGCGTGACGCTACCGGACAAGGCATGCATGCGTGTTCAGATCAACAAGACTGCAAGAAAATGCATCGCCAAGAGAAAATATTTGCATCATCAAATTTTTATCTTAAATTTTGAAGTTTGCATTACCATGTTTACCCTAAATATATCATCATGCATGCATGGTGGCTCAGCTACAGCTATTGGATGGTCCTAGATGTGGATTTCTTCCAGACTAAACCTTAGCTAGTGGAAGCTAAATGCAGCCTCGAAACAAGAATTATTGACCTTTGTTTTGTACTCTCTCAGTCTCATAATATAAGAACGTTTTTTACAAGGAAGTACCAAGTAGTTGTGATGAACAGCCTTCCAAACCAAACAAGGAAGGATTGAAACGGCCTCCACTTGCCTTGTCTCGCATGCAAGAGCACATGGCTTTCAGTTTACATTCTAGCTTTGTACACCGAGGGATGAAACAAACTGCCTAATCTGTCACACAATCGCATATGCGGGCAGGCAAGGCTATTTTCAGTCCCTGTACAGCCCTGGTGAAGTTTAGGATGAAATGAGACCACAGCGATCGCTGCTTGATGAAATCTCGTATATGCTTGTAACTTAGGCCGCCGACCGCCCCCATCTCTAATCCTTTCCATCTGGTCTGCAGATCCAGTTTGTAAGTGACAGAAAAATTGATTTATTCATCTTATTAATCCGAAGGAGTGAGATTTAACATCTTAAATTCCTATTCTCCTATTATTTTAGGGTTTGTTTGACATGTGGTTTTTTCTTAAAATTACTTGACGGTCTAGATGGTTAATCACATGGATTACACAATCTAGATTAGTGCCTCAAGTTACACCCCAATCACAACGTCAAGTAAGCTAGCAAAATAAAAAGGTACCTATTTTTGTAATCAGAGTTTTTTTTTGTTATCATACATTGGCTACTATGGTTTCTTATTTATGTGAGGTTACTAAAAACATTGTAGACATGTTAGTTTTGAGAGGATATATTAGTTTTACTTGTTCGTGTTGACCCCGACGACTTGTTTTCCTGGCTTCGCCCCTGACCCGGGCCCTCTGGACTATTCGCAACAAAATTTCTATTGAAGGATTGTTCCCTTCTTGCCCTGCTAATTACATTTTTAAATGGTGCCTTTTTTTAGCAATGGTGTCCTCTCTTTTTTTGCGGGATAGCAATGGTTGGTGTCCTCTGACGAAGAGGAAGGACAATGACGTGGCGAGAATGTCTTGCTCAAGAAAGCAGTTTCATGCTTACCATAGGACAGCTCATTCATAATTACGGCGCTTACGACTCATGGCCCCTTTTGAATCTTGATGTACTCTATAAGTAGTCTGTAGCTCATTTGTAATTTCGTCGCTTATCATATGAGTATGTTATAACTATGTTACGTTGGCTGTGTTGACTTTTACTATTAATTTAAAGTTGAACGCTTCTTATGCCTGTTTTCTAAAATATGAAGCAATTTCATGTTACGATCAATTCTGATATATCGATGTAATAAAAAATTTAATCTTTGAAATGATATATCGCTGTAATAAAAAATTTAATCTTTGAAATTTTGAATAGGAACTCCTTAAATCTTCAAATCCTGGGCCCTTACATGATTTTTTCGCTGCTCATGTCAAAACATATTTCATCATTAAATTTTAGAAACATTCAATATACATCCCTATGTACATGTGTATTCTTTTCAATTTTTGAAATTTAAAGAGTTAAATTCTGATTATTATTTTTGTAAATGGAGCCATTTCCGAGGAAACACCGGATATATATCCGATATTTTCTCCGTAACATTCCTGCGCAGTCCGCGCCAGCAACAGAAAAAAACGCTTCTCTCGCTCCCCTTGGGCGTTGACTTGCGAGTCGCCAGCGTGAGTGGCCCACGCCCTACACAGCCTCCGGTGGCCATCGAGATTAGCCAGCTCCCCTCCGATTCCCCGCGGCCATGCTCCCCCATCTGGTGCTGGTGGCGAGGCTTCGAGTTCCTGCCACAGTTTGCAGTAGCGTATCCTTGTCGAGGTAACTAGGTTACACCGCAACCTGATTCATCGAATGCTTCAAATTTTGATCCATATCCATGTGTTGAAGTTGTATGTTCCAGCATGATTTCGCTATGCATTGCTACGCACCAGGTGCCCTAACTCGGGCTCAATCGAATTCCTAGCGTTTTTAGCTGTGAAATAGTGAATTGCAGGTTCGAATAGTTTGTGCTTGTTCGTATTAGCAACTGAGAATTCATCATGCTTCGTCGTGTTTTTTGTGATTTAACATTGGAAGAGATGTCTTCCATTTGCTTTTAGATGCTCCTGAACAGAACTTTGGTATGTATGTAGCAGGATATTCTGCCGGAGAGAAGTGACAGAAAATACAGATCCGGATAATCTTTTTAGCTTTACACTAGTTAAATGCTCGCGCGTTGCTACGGGCAATAAATAAGGACTCATATAGAGCTACTCTAGCATATTTTTTATCCCACACATCTATTTATAATACATGCATTTGTCTCCACTGCATTCGTCTGCCTCCCCTCTCACTTTCCTTCCCTCCGCTCCTCCTTAAGATCTAGCCCACCGATGCGCACTCACCTACACCGAAAACCTCTCCAACGCCCCTACGGACGAGACCGACAAAAAGGACGTGATCCGAGGAGCAACGAAGGAGTCCGTCCAACAAGCCTGAGCATGCCGCCATCAAGGAAGAGGCCCACATGGTGGACATCATCATCGTGGACTCCCTGTCCGCCGCCAAATTTGTGGCATGGCGTTGGGCGGAGCACAAGCAGCACGAGAACCATGCAATGACTCAAGCCTCCCTTCTACACCAACTATAGTTCCCACAATGACACATGTTTTACTACTATTCTTCTTTGTTGCAACACTACCCACTATCTGAGTGAATTCTGACAGAAAGTGTCGGGTTATATTCTACAGATAAAGATTGATTTGAAAAAGGTACTTACCAAAATTTATTCTACAACAAGCCCCTTGATTTTTATTTTCTACACTTTCTAAAGCTCGTAGAGAGAACCGGAGAAGTCCTTGCCGCGACGATGTCATGGGTGTGATCACTCGGTGCAACCAACTCCATCAAATAGATCTAGGATATTTCATAAATTAGAAAAATAATAAAACTTTCTTATAGTAAACTGAGAAAGCAACATATAAAAAATGAAGTAGATATAGTATGACTAATTTACTACTCCCTCCGTCCAGAAATACTTGTCAGAGAAATGCATAAAAATAAATGTATCTAAAACTAAAATACATCTAGATACATCAATTCTTCCGACGAGTATTTCCGGACGGAGGGAGTACTACATTGATAAATTAGGACTATTATTTTTGAACTTATAAGAAGATTTTTAAATGCATTATTATATAATTGGCTTACACTCTCGTCATTCATATTGCAAGATCAAAGAAGCATACCATTTACAAACGAGGACCATGTGCCTCCGGAAGCACATACATGCTCCTGATCACAGGCTTAAAAATAACTTTTCAATACCAATAATTCTTTGCATCCACGATACTCTGAGTCTACAATTGCAAATAGAAGTCAGTTCAGACCAATGGAAAAAATAGCGTGCTACAACAAAATAGCGCCGACCTCAAAATATGCTATTAGCGTGCTATATCGCGCTATAATGTGCTATTAGCGAGACGTTGTACATCGATATATTTAGCGAGGCAATTCTCAATATGCTATAGCGTGCTATTAGCGACGCTATAGCGCGCTATTTTTTTCAGTGGTTCAGACGAAAGCAAATGCCCACAAATCCTCAAGCTATACAAGAATTGCAAATAAAAGTCAGTTCGGGCCTTGCCTGTGTGAGAGATGAAGCTAATGTGGTCATCATATACAGACCGCCCAACGACGGAGAGGCCAACGTAATGCTGCGTGCTTACGATCCTAGCACAGCCAATCAGCCTCGGTGGTGCCGGCGAAGTCGGCTATGCCCACGACCCGAATTAATGTCTCCAGGATCTCGCAAACCTGGAAGAGAGGACGATGCGCGCACAACAGCAGATCGACAAGGATTGGTGGTGGGGCGACAGATCTGCCAGTGACAGTAGATGAGACAACCATGGAGGTCGTTCGTTATGGCCAGGGATGTTGCTCATGGTGGATGGCGGTTCCAATTCCAACCGTACCAATGCTCTCCTTTCCTATCTTCGTCGCCACACCACCGCCTCCACACCTCACCCCAGCTCCCTCTGCATCACACGTTCTTCCCCACCGCGCGAGATTCCTTCACTTCCAAATTTTCTTCGCCGCCGCCTTGGCTACTCCCAACGGCGAGCGCCTCCCGACTCCCTCCAATTCCACCGCGACGACCTCACCATCCTTTCTCCTCCACTCTCATCATGAGCGCTGCCCCCCCGTCGCTCATGGTCTTCCACATGCCGATGACCT